AAATGAAAGTAAATTTCAAGAGCAATTGACCACCCCTAATTTGAATATTCTACTGACACACTGGGAGGACCCCTACCCACACCCATAAGCTTAGAGGCTGAGGCAGAAAAGGAAAATACAAGGGAAGATTCATCTCAAAGAGATACTTCAGCTTCCGTCCCTCCTTCCCTTCACCAAGACCTGAGACTTAAATAAGTTAGATCGCTCCTTTCTCTTCTGCCAAAGGCAGCAACAGCCCTGATACTAATCCTCTCCTCTGCCTTGGGCTCTAAGATCACAGGAAGGACAGAAGAATTGGACACCTGGAGGGGCTGAGATTAGAGGGAAAGAGGAAGGGGCTTTGAGGGCTCAGAAGGTTGAGCTCATTCTATGTGGGGAGAGCTTTAGGATGATGGCAAGCACTATGAATCTGTCTAGCCAGCACCTACCCTCGCCAAGGTAGTGACCCTGGCGCCCTCCTAAGACTAGGGATTTATGACAGCCAGGACCCTGCCAGACTCTTCCAGTCAAAACCACATTCCAGCTCAGAATGAGCGGGCAGCAAGCCCCAGTGGGCGTGGTCCCTCCTCACACTCTTTAGCAAGAACTGGTTAGGGGAGCAGGCAGGTTCCACTCCTGCTCACACAGCCTCTTACTCACCCCAGATGGCCGGCCAGAGAGGGAAATCAAACCACACTTTCCCTTTCCAAGTTTCCTTCAAGCAGTGATCCCACCCCCAACTTCTCAAGCAGCCAACAGAGACCATATTGCCCAGCTCTCAAATGAGGATACAGAGGGTCACAGAAGTTAGGAGGCTGACACTGGCCCAATAGGAGCCCTGAGTCAGGGCCAAGATGGAACCCACGACCCTTGACTGCCAAGCCAGATCGCTCTGAAAAGGCAAGATCCAGGGCATAAGGAGACTGGCAGGAGGGAAAGGAAGTGGCCCATGAGTGCTGCGCCGGTCCAGCCAGCCTCAGCGTCTCAAAGCCCATACATGCAGGAGGCACCCTGAGATACACAGCCCATCCGGCAGCACTTCCCATGGGCCCCATCTCTCTTCTTTTCTTCTTCTCTGCATTCCTGACTTGTGAGGAATCCACGTGGAACATACTGGAGCCTGTCTTCCCCCAGCACTGAAAAGGCCTGAGGTCTGAAACTGCACCTGCTCGCAGCCCGTCCTGGACTCCTCAGCAACTGATCTATTCGCAGAAGAGAGCTCAGAGGCTCAGAAACCAAAGGGGGAAAGCTGCCTGCAGGAGATGCGGAGCAAGGCTGTTCCTCTTTCTCCTTCCCAAAGCTGTGCTCGGTGTGCCATTGTTAGCCCCCCTGTCATCTGGGATGTGTGTCTGGAATACTGCCCTGCATACGTGGCCGCCAGGGTGCTGATGGCGACTGCCTCGTGAGTATAGTTGTATTCTAGGGCCCACGTCTGTAACCCAGAGCTTTGCAGAAAGAGTATAAGAAGCTGGAGATTGTGTAGCCTGCCCTTCATCCCTGCAGAGCCTCCCTCCCACTCCCAGCCCCCCACAGCCCCCGGCTCAGAGACCCCCCACAGTGAGGGCCCCATCTGCTGGAGGCTCGGTGACCTGTATCAAATGAGCAGGCGCTCGGTCACACTCCAGAGCCTGGAGGAGGCCTCTGTGCTCTGGGAAAGCCCAAGCAGATCCTGCCTGGGGGCGGGCTGGGCAGAGGCCCCGCTGGGGAGGGAGGCCCGGGAGCCTCTGAAACTGGCGGCGGCCTGGCTGGGAGCTGCCCTCCACAGACAAGGAGAGTGGGAAAAAATATGAAAAGAAAAGCCTTCCCTGTTTCCCTGGGACTAGCGCCACAATCAAACCACGCAGACCAAACTCTGGATTGGACACAGCCCCTTCCTCTGCTTTCCGATCCCCTGCGCGGAGCTGTATTTCTTACAGGGTGTGGGTGGATATGTCTGTGTGTCTCTGTGATGTGTGGGGCGAGCCTCTTTGTATCTGTGCATCTGGGTGAGAGGGTGTGCATGGCTGGCTCCGTGTGCTCATGTATGTGAATATGACGGTGTGCCTATGTGTGTGACTTGGCACGCCAGCTAAGAGTCTTCTTGTTTGTGGCCCCAAGAGCCTGTAGGTTTCGTGTATCTCTGTGTCAGCAAAGCAGTGCCTACTTGAGCCTATTTCAGCCTATGTGTGGGTTCTGTGTATCTCCCTGTTTAGACACATGCCTGTATTTACCACTGGGTGTTGCTTTGTGTGACTATGAATATTCCACCTAATGGTGTGAGTCTGTGTGTTCCTATTGTGAATCTGTATGTTCAGTCCTGTGCTAAATTGCATGGTTGTATCTGTGTGTGTGTGTGTGTGTGTGTGTGTGTGTGCACACCTGTTCTCATGTCCACACCACTCTGTGTCTACATGGATCAGGTGGGTGTCTGACCTCTGTGTGTATACCTACCTATGTGTTGTGGGTCTGAGGGTGAGGGCCTGAGAAGGTGGTGCTCCAGGAGGAAGGGGCTGCTCAGCTGCAGGTGTTTCTGCCAGTGGCCATATCTTGGCCCTAGTGTCCCAAACAGAATCTTGAGAAGAATGTCAAGACTTCAGGGGGGAAACTTAACTCTAATACGAGAAAATTCTGACTCAAGACCAAACCCATATCCTTTTAGAAGGTCTAAAATTTCCAAAGCAGAGAAAGGAATTTTATCTTCCCTACTTCAAACTGCTTCCCACCCCAGGGCAGCATCTAACATCTAAAGGGCACCTAAATTGGATGCCTTATTTCATTTGTGGAGCCTCAGAGCAGCCCCGAGAAGCAGGCATCATTGTTCTCACTGTAAGATGCACAAACTTAAGCTCCAAGAGGCAATGTAGCTCACACAGTCACAGGGCTGCTAAAGGGTGTGATGGGACTGGGACTTTGATTTGCTGGGTGACAAGCTGATAATCTAGAAGCCTGGCTACTGCTTTGCTGCCAATGCCCCTCAATTCAGCACAGACCTGGGAAGATGGATTCAGGAGCCCTGGCAGGCCCTGGCCTGCCCTTGAGACCTACTAAAAACAGGGCTGTGGGCTCTCTTTGCTGTGCCAGCCAAAGCTGCTGCCTCCACAGGCCCCCATCCCATGGTAATGGGGAGAATGGTGAGTGGAAACTCACAGGTCCTGTGCCATTGGACAAATCTTGGGTCCCTTATCTAGGCAATGAAGATAATCTCAGTGCTCTCTCACAGGGCTGAGAGGTACAGTAAAATCATAGATGTTAAAGTACTTGTTAAAACACCGTGCCTGTATGCATACCTATGTAACAAACCTGCACATTCTGCACATGTATCCCAGAACTTGAAGTATAATTAAAACAAACAAAAAAAAAAAAAAAAAACACGGTGCCTGTTGGTCATTGTTCTTCCAGCCTCAGTGGCAATTCCAAAGGCTGGACATTGAAACCTCTGTCCACTGTCCAGACATTTCCCCTCCTCCAACAGGAACTGAGACAGATTACAGAATCACTGACCATGAAAGTGAGAAATGCCAGAGAGGTCAACTGGTCCAAACCTCTGCAATCCCATGCTATAGGTGAAGAAACTGAGATTTAGTTGGAGAGGGGAATGCCTTGCCCCCTCACTGAATAGCAACAACAGAAACAACCAGAGTAAGCACCCATCTGAGAGCTTTATACCCCCATTGCCTCACACCACTATCTGACCTACCTTGGTGAGACAGCTGGGCTGCTTATATTACTGTTATTCCCAACTTACAGGAAGGAAAACCCAGAGCTAGGAAGAGTGGATCAGAGTTACTCCTGCCCAGGAAGATGACGGCAGCTCCAGGTTGAAAGCCCAAGCTTCAATATCACACAGGCCTGGTTAGAGCTGGCATGAGAGGGGACTTCACTGCAGGATTCCCAGCCTACCTCCTACCTCCTGGGCCTGGGAAAGGGGGCAGGAAGGTGAAGGGCCTGGGTTGTCTCAAGGTGACCATTTCCTGGGCCAGAGTCCAGGAAAGCCCAGTATCTCTAGCTGGATTCAGACACAGAACTCCATCACAGCTCTTACAGGTAGGGTGGGACCATGGAGCCTGCTCAGGACAGTGACCAATGGCCAGACAAGGGCCCTGCTCTGTCCCACTCCTTCCCTGTTCGGTCCTAGGCAATTCAGGGCTCACATGATCAAAGTCAGTGCCCAGGGTGACCCCTGTCACTGTCAACTCTGTCCCAGCCACCCTGGATCGTTCCAATGCCATCTGCCACCTGAGCCCCCAGTACCTTTTTTCGCACACTGAGGCTTTATTCCACAGACCTGACTTGCTCAGTGGGCCCCTGGCTGGGCCCCCAGCTCAGTTCTGTGATCTGGGACCCCGGGGCCCTGTAAGCTATAAATCCACTTGAGGCAAGATCCAGGAGAGAAAAGTGGGAAGACTGGCAGCTGAAGACTCCCTGGGACCCAAGCCTCAGTGTAGGGTAGAGGAGAGAACACACAGCTCAGTCCCCTCAGCCTGGGGCCCAAGGTCGGGTAAGGAGGCACAGAGGAACTGCAGTGAGGTCCAGCTCCACTCAAGATCCTTCAGGGGGTCCTCAAGGGCTGGGGCGTGAAGAGGTAGCTGAATTCCACTGCCCACCTTTCCAACAAGGTCTCCTTCATCTCAATTCCCTTTTCAGAAGCTCCAGGCAAGTCCGGGGAAACTCCAGCCCGGGGCTCCTGGCGAGGCTGGACAGCTCCCGGCCTGCATGCCGGATTTCTGGAGTGCCCGCGGTCCTTCCCTGAGTCCAAACTTCTCTCCTCTCCCGGGGGTGGCCCCACCATGACCACAGCCGATGAGCCGTTCAAGCTGGGAGGAGCGAGAAGGCTGCAACGGAGCAGGTCGGATACCCCTGGGCCCAATGTCCACCCCTCACTAGCGCCCTCGCCAGCAGCGTTTTCCCCGGAGCCACAGTCTCCACCTCGAGGTCTTCTCCTTCCGGAACCTCGGAGCGGGGCCGGGTACCGGGGGCTCGCGTAGGACTGTAGAACCGCTGCCGCCCGCCGCCCCAGCCCCAGCCGCCCGCGCGGTACTCACCTGTGCCGCAGTGCCGGGGAGAAGGGGTGCCGCCGCGAGGCGTGAAGCCCGAGTCCGTCCGACTCCGGCCGCGCAGGACGCGCTCTCAGGGCAGCTGAGGTTGGCGGAGTTGCGACGCTGGGACTACAGGGAGGAGAAGGAAAGACCGGGCAGACGCGCCGAGGAGCGCCCTGTGCACGCTGGCAGCCGCGGGAGGAGAGGCGGGCGGGCGGGCGCGGTGAGCAGTCGCGCCAGAACCGAGCCGGGAATCCGCGCCGCCTCCCGCTCGCAGCCGCCAGGACCCGCGGGAATCCTGGTCCGCCGGCAGCGGTACTGCGGAGGGAGGGGCGCGGGGCTGAGCCGCTTCTCGGAGCCCGAGCGCCTCCCGGAGCCCGCAATCCCGGCTGCCCGGGCGGGATGCGGGCGGGAATTCAACTCGCGTGGAATGTGGGACCGACCGGGCTCGGAGTCTCCAGCGCTGGGGGAAAGCTGGGCCCACACAGCCAGGACGAGAGGGGGTGCGGTCCCAGGGCCACCCCCGCGCCACTCCCCACGTGGCGGCCGCGCCCCCGGGGCGTGAGTGTGTACGCGGACTGTAGGGGGGCCGTGAATGAAGCCCCAGCGGCCAATCAGCACGGCCGGCGCGCGGGACCCCGGGAGCGACGCCCAATGGAGAGCTCTGGGCGGCCGGGCCGGGCTGCGGGAGGGAGCGGGGGGCGGGGGCCGGGGCCGGGGGGCGGGAGGCGGCTCCGCGGGCAGCCAATGGGCGGCGGGCGGGGTGGGGCTCCAGAGCGCCAAGCGGGTCGGGTCTTTAAGCCGGCGGAGCGAGGCGGCGGGGCCCGCAGACGGAGCGGAGCGGCGGCGGCGGCGGCGCGGCGCAGGGCGCGGGGCGGCATGGCCACCACCGCGCAGTACCTGCCGCGGGGCCCCGGTGGCGGAGCCGGGGGCACCGGGCCGCTGATGCACCCGGACGCTGCGGCGGCAGCGGCGGCGGCGGCGGCCGCCGAGCGACTGCACGCAGGGGCCGCGTACCGCGAAGTGCAGAAGCTGATGCACCACGAGTGGCTGGGCGCGGGCGCGGGCCACCCCGTGGGCCTAGCGCACCCCCAGTGGCTACCCACCGGAGGAGGCGGCGGCGGCGACTGGGCCGGCGGCCCGCACCTAGAACACGGCAAGGCAGGCGGCGGCGGCACCGGCCGAGCCGACGACAGCGGCGGCGGCGGAGGTTTCCACGCGCGCCTGGTGCACCAGGGGGCGGCCCACGCGGGCGCGGCATGGGCGCAGGGCAGCACGGCGCACCACTTGGGCCCAGCCATGTCGCCGTCGCCCGGGGCCGGCGGGGGCCACCAGCCTCAGCCGCTCGGGCTGTACGCGCAGGCGGCCTACCCGGGGGGCGGTGGCGGCGGCCTGGCCGGGATGCTGGCGGCGGGCGGTGGCGGCGCGGGGCCGGGCCTGCACCACGCGCTGCACGAGGACGGCCACGAGGCGCAGCTGGAGCCGTCGCCGCCGCCTCATCTGGGCGCCCACGGACACGCACACGGACATGCACACGCGGGCGGCCTGCACGCGGCGGCGGCACACCTGCACCCGGGCGCGGGCGGCGGCGGCTCGTCGGTGGGCGAGCACTCGGACGAGGATGCGCCCAGCTCGGACGACCTGGAGCAGTTCGCCAAGCAGTTCAAGCAGCGGCGCATCAAGCTGGGCTTCACGCAGGCCGACGTGGGGCTGGCGCTGGGCACGCTCTACGGTAACGTGTTCTCGCAGACCACCATCTGCCGCTTCGAGGCCCTGCAGCTGAGCTTCAAGAACATGTGCAAGCTCAAGCCGCTGCTCAACAAGTGGCTGGAGGAGACCGACTCGTCCAGCGGCAGCCCCACCAACCTGGACAAGATCGCGGCGCAGGGCCGCAAGCGCAAGAAGCGCACGTCCATCGAGGTAGGGGTCAAAGGCGCGCTCGAGAGCCACTTTCTCAAGTGCCCCAAGCCCTCGGCGCACGAGATCACCGGCTTGGCCGACAGCCTACAGCTGGAGAAGGAGGTGGTGCGCGTCTGGTTCTGCAACCGGCGGCAGAAGGAGAAGCGCATGACCCCTGCGGCCGGCGCGGGCCACCCGCCCATGGACGATGTTTACGCGCCTGGGGAGCTAGGGCCCAGCGGGGGCGGCGCATCGCCACCCTCGGCGCCCCCGCCGCCCCCGCCGGCGGCGCTGCATCACCACCACCACCACACACTGCCCGGCTCTGTGCAGTGACCCCGCGGGCCGGACCCCCGCCGGCGCGCTGCAGGGCGCGGGCGCGCAGCCCGCCCGCGCGGCCTGGACTCTTTTTGTTCGGTTGCTTTGGATTTTACAAAAAAAGAAAAAAAGCCCAGAAACTTTCGAACAAAACCAAACACCCGGACGACCCTCTCCGGTGAGCGGCGAAGACGGCCAGTAGGCTGCGTCGCCCGAGCCCCGGGAGAGAGGAGCGAAGATCCGGAACTCGCCAACTCACCCCGGGCATCCTGCCCGTCGCCTGCTCTCTGCCCCCATCCCCTCGACGACCCCCGCCCCTGCCCCCCGGGCTGTTCGGGGCCGGATCCCGGCAGCGGCCTCCCCAAAGCGACAGGTAACGCGGTGCGGGGTTAGGGATTCCCCGGGAGAGAGGACGAAGCGAGGAGAGTTCTCCATCCCCTCTCCCGGCGTGGACTCCTGAGCCTGCGGGTCCAGGGTGGGGGGGGCTGTCACTTTATTCGCTAGAAGCCTCTTCTCTCCTATAAGGATGCGCCCCACCCCCTTTTCCCCTTTCTCCGGGCTTGGTTTTTTACGGTTTTTATTTATTCGTGGAGCCTCTCGGCTCCTGGGGTCCTTCTAACTCCGCCCGCGCCCTTAATTTAAATCGCTGTATACTGTATTTATCGGGGCCCCGGAGGGGAGGTCGCGAGAGCCGCGTCTGTGTATAAAAGCAGGAAATAGCCAAAGCTTTAATCTAGCCTAATTTATTTTTCCCTTTATCTTTGCCTACCCTCCCCTCAAAAAAAAGAAAAAAAAAGAAAAAAAAGAAAAAAAAAAACCTAACAAAAAAAATTTCGAGTGTTCATTTTTCGTTTCGTTTCATCCGAGCCCCGGCTTGGTTCCCGGCCACGCGAGAGGGGTCTGCGCTCCCACACACCCAGATGGGAAGGGACTTCTGCCCTGCTGCAGACCGACCGCCGCACGGCAGGGGCCCCTGCTCCCCGCGGGGCCCTGCCCTCCTGGCCACACCAAACGAAACTTGGAAAAGTTGGAGAGATTTTTTTTTTAACCAGCTGTAGAAATAAGCCGTTCCCTGAGAACCCTCCGCCTGATTCCCTGCAGCTTCCCTCTGCTCCCTTTCCAGCCCGCCGGGATGCGGGATGCCAGGGGAGGCTGGGAGAAACATTCCCCAACTTTGGTGAGGTGGGAACCATGTAAATATGTGAGATATGTACACACTGGCGGGGAGAAGAAACATTTTGTGCTTGGTTTTTATTTTTGGTTTTCCGGGTTACCCTTCCTTCCTACCCTAAAGGATTTTGTACACTGACTAATCCGAAAAAGATATTTTAATATGATTTCCGAATTTCTGACCCATCTCTATTTATTTTCTGGATGTGTTTGGAGCTTCCCCTTTCTCCATTTCTTTTTCTGTTTGTTAAGGTTTGAATTTAAATTTTGTTATTTTATTTTTATTATTTTTGAAACAATGTTTCGGTGCATTCTCTTTGTATCTTTATTGCAAAAAACAAAAATAATAATGTAGACTGGGAAGTTCCCTTTATATTTATGTTATAGTAAATATTTTATTACTCACATAAACATGTACCCCAGGGCTGTGTCCTGTCCTCTTTACTGCTAGGGCTTGGTGGGTTTGGGGGTGAAGTGATGGCATACCCTGCTTCACCTCCCTAAAGTTCTGATCTGGCTAAGAGAGATCTTGGAGGAAGATGACTGTGCAGACCTAGATGGATATCAGGCCGTGGGCAACAGTTGGGCCCCTGCCTCATGCCCATCAGTTTAGGGAAGATGAAGCCACTTCATGTCCCCCTGCTGTAGACAGACTCTCCTAGACCAAACCAGGGCCTGGGACAGTGAGCCAAAGACACCACATGGAATTCGGGTCAGCCATCACTCATGCACAACTCGACTGCTCTTCTGGGCCAAGAAAGAAGCCCACCTCGGCCTGGGTCACCAGCCTAGAATCTATAATTCCCCACCTGACACCTCAACCCCCAACTTTCATTTCACCTTGCACTCTATATGAGGGGTCTGGGCCAACTTCACTATTCCGGGTCCTAGGGCACCTGGCAGCCTGGTCAGGCCCCACCATCCTACTCTCCAGCAGGCTCTCCACTCAAAAACAAATGGTGCCCAAGCCTCCCTGGATCCACTGGAAGTTCTAACAGCTTAGATAGAGGTCGGTTTTGTGGTCCTGTATGAGCTGGGTCAGCCTGGGGAGGGAGCCCTGCCAATTTGCTTGGGCAAAGCCAGTCCTACTTCTCTGCAAAAACCACTACCCCAGCTTTCTCTTGGGGAGAAGTGGAGGCATGGGCAACTGTGCCACCAGAAAGACCTGATGTCTCCTCTCCAAGCGTGGGTACCCAAGACTGCTGTAGGGAGTGCAGCGGAGAGCATAGACATTCTCAGATGCTGTCTTCTGGAGCGAGTCAGGATGTCTGGGGGCAGATCTGGCTCCAGGAGCAGAACCCCAGACTACCTGTGTTCCAGTCACAACCTTATTTTCTCCTTTAAAACAACTGTTCTTAAAAACACTAATAAAAGAGCTCTTCCTGCTCCCTCCGTAAACGAGGTTCTTTTCCCCTTTCAGGAGAAGCCACATGCAATTTCTCTCCCTCTTTGTGAAGCCAAAGCTTGAAGGCATAATCTCTTAGCTGGGGAGAAAGTTGTCCCTAGTGAAGGGATATGTGGGGCCCCTCCTGAAAGGAAGCTGCCCGTGTCCAGGACTGTGAGAGGCCTGGCCTCCAGCCGACGGCGTCAGGGGTGTCCAGAGAGGTGTCCACAGGGCCCCAAGTTGGTGCTCTCTCACGGGCTGGGGCCTCAGGATGACTGTGCCATACTGGGAGTTTCTGGTGACTTTCTGTGCTCGGCCCTCACTCTTGGAGGGGATTGTCTCTGCAAGCACAAATGCTGCCTCAGTTTCCAGAGCCCCAGCCTCTCACTCCTTTGCTCCGTTTTTCTTTTCCTCCTCAGTCCAGCCAGGTGAGCCAGTAGCCCTGTAATTGGCACCTGTGTCCCAGCTGTTCCCCACACTGGTGGGCCAGGTAGCCTGCCCTCCCGTGTTTCCTGAAGAGGAAGCGGGAACGAACAGGCCAGCCAGGCAATGGCACAGCCAGGAGCCACTGACCACCCTGCCTCGGCCTCTCATTTCCTGCTCCACTAAGTACAAAACTTTGAAGGCTCCACACACTCTTCCCTCCTCCCTCCTTTTTTCTCCATTCCTGGATTTGTCCCAGCCTCAAGGCTCTGAAATGGAAGCAAATGAAGCTGAGAGCTCCCGCTGCCTGCGAGGCCCAGAGCCTCAGCAGGTTTTGAGGTTGCAAAGGGCCACCAGGAAGATGGGGCCTTTCACTGGCCTCTGCCTGCAGCTGACACCAATTGATTGATTGATTTCCTAATTGTCTGCTTAATCCTCTACAAGAGGGTAGGTTTATTATTTAAGCAAGTCAACTCAAAAACAGCAAAACAAAGCAACCTCCCAAGAACCAGCAGCAGCTGAGGAGTAGAACAAAAAAAATGGAAAAAAAAAAAAAGTGGGAAAAGGGATGGAAGAAAATCTTTTACTTTGCAAGGATTTGGCTTAATGAGACACCAGCGTGGGATAGCTACCCAGTGACCAGCCCCTTGGTCGCAGAAGGCCCCTAGACAGCAGGAACCTCAGCACTTTATAGGAAGAGAAATCTTTTTCCCTGGATAAAACAGAGTTAGGACAAGCACAGCCAACTGTGGCCTTGATGCAGTCTCTGTCCCAAGGGTATGTGTATCTACCTGCTTGTGCCTGAGAACGTCAGACTTCCTTTTGTTCAGGAGAGGTATGTGACCCTAGCATCGACCTCCAAGGAAGTCCAAGCTTTCCCTAGCATATTGGGAATTTTCTAATCCCATCTCCCTCCCCTTCTCACTTGAACAAAATTATTGTTTATGATGATGTGGCCACAGATTACGGTAGTTAGAACTTCCCTGTCCCCATGTGAACTTCTGCAAGTTGGTGTAAGAATTTGTGTGTATGCCATTGTGTGTGCAAAGCCACAGCTGATCCCAGAGGTAGGAGAGGAAAAAGACAACCAAGGCTGCATTGCTAATGCTTTGAGCTGAGCTGGAAGAGCATTTACAGGATGGAGGCTGGCCAGTACCAAACGGAAGGAAGGTGGTCATGCTTGTCACCTGTGGTCATCAAGGCAAACCCAGCAGGAGGACATTTATATTCTCCCCCTCCTACTGCCCAGAAGGTTGCACTAGTTTATATATTGCATGCCTTAGGTCCCATGCAATCATCCCTTGACCCTAGGACTTAACTGGACGTCCATAGGACTAACTGACCCCCAATCGCAGATGCCCATGTAGAGCTGTTCAGAACTCAGCCTGCCCTGGAGAGGCTCTGGGCCTCCAATGACACACCCAGGGCCAGACTGCCTCCCTCCCTGGAACTTTCCCCAGCAGGGCTTCAGCTCCAAAAAGGAGACCCACCTAAACAGGGGGTGGAGTGAGAGGAGGTTGGTCACCTGTCCTAGTTGCTCTCCTAAGCTCAGCCAAGATGATCTACTCAGGGCCTCTGACTTGGAGAGTGAGACCAGAAGCAGCTGGAGGAGCCATCAGTTTTGTCCCTGCCTGTCATATTTAAAGGCCCTGGAGTTCAAATGGCGTTTGGCCATTCAGGGCTCCCCTTGCTGCCTCTGAGGCCTCCATGTGAGAGGACTGCCCTCTATTGGTCCCTGAACTGGGACCTGGCAGCAGTCACCAGAGCCACCTTGAAGCTAAGGATGCCCCCAAAAAGTAAGCTTCAAGTGGGCTCCTCCAGGAGGGACTGGCAGTTAGAGAGCAGAGGCAACTTTAGTCTCCAGAGGAAGCAAGCCTGCCTCTCTTGCACTCTCTCTCTCTCTCACACACACACACACACACACACACACACACACACACACACACACACATGCTTATCCATGACCCTTCCCTCTCATCTCCCACCCCATCCATTCACACAGCCACTCTCAGAAACCCACGATCACATACCACCTCCTCTGTCTCTCTCCCACTCATCCCCATCCCCATCACTCCCCTCAGTCAGTTAAAACCCCGATCCAGGCTCTCGCCACCTTGCTCACTCACACGCATGCTAACACACCCGTGGTCACACCCACACCATAGTTTGAGCGGTCCGAGACCAGCTTCCTGGTCTTTGGTGTTGAGCTCTTCAGAGCTGCTGAGTACCTGGCACATGTAATATGTGATTAAGCACACACGGCCATTCTTTGCAACATTTGACCCGGTCCTCTTCCCTCAGGATTTCCAAGCACTTGTCCCTAAACTGCTTTCCAAACACATCCCTGTCCATCATTGTCCCAGCTCCTCCCAGATCTCTTCCTGCTCCTTTCAGATAATTAAAGTTAGGCTGTGTGTTTGTATGTATGTGTGATCTTATTTTTTAAACACACACCCCCACACATACATATGCGTGTATATATACAAACACACACAGCAATTAGATCTATCCATTCCTGCCGTAGTCCTTCTTATGCAGTAAAACCTCAGCTATGCGTATGCCCCCACACTGCTATGCAATGAACCCAGCATCACCTAGTCACGGGCTCCTGATGTCACACACATGCACACACATACACACACACACACACATGCACAGTGGCACATTCACGTGGTTACACCCACCCCCAGATCCCTCGTCTTTCTCCAAGGGCATGACCCACCCCCCACTACCCACCCTGCTCCAGGGCATCTGAGTGGGCTCTCCTCAGAAGACCTAAGTACCACTAAGTACCAGGAGAGCTTTGCCCCAATCCCTCCCCTCAGCACACACACACCAGTGGACGTGTCTCCTGCTGAGCCTGACCAGGGTGGGTCTGGGTATTATTAGGCTGCAGAGACAGCACGGAGGCATATGGTCTCGTACACAAGAAATAATGTTCATGTTAAATCAGACCTCATGCATAATGCATGGTGCCTGATCTCACATTATTTTGGGTGTTCGTCAAAATCAGTGTTCTTTCTTGTGAGGGCTCCTGAAAAGAAGTGAAAAGGCATTTGCTAATTACACCCACGGCCTGGACCCAGAGAGCTGGGAGTGCCCCCACGAGCCTCCCTCTGGCCCCACTTCACCCACCAGTGGGTCCCGTACCTCTGCCCCACTCTGTCTTCCCACTTGGAAGGAGGGGCTGCCTGGGGTTTGTGGCAGGCGTAAGGCCCCGTGTTATTTTTATTTCTTTTCTCTCGGCTCTCTGTCCCTGGAGGGTTCTGGGGAATAGCAGTGGCTCTGTCGCTCTCACACCCGATTCATTTGCCGTTTTATGAACTCCCCGTTGATTCATCGCCTCCCTAAGTCAATGATTCACTCCTGATGGCTTTTCAGAAATCCTTCTTCAAAGGCTCCAGATTATTCAGCTCTGAGCAAGAGCAAAAGCCGGAGCAGACCTGGACCTTGCATTCCCACTGCTCCTGTGGCTTGGAATGGGATATTGTCCCCATCTTTGGGCCTTCCCTGGAGCTGGCCTGGCCTGGGGAGGAGGGAGTGCTCCCTCCACACAGAAGCTGGTAGAGCTGACCCAAGCAGCTCATGGACAGACCTAGCCCACGGCCAGGCCCCCTCC